GAGACTGTAAGAGTTCAAAATGAGTAGAGAGGGGAGGGGGAGGTAAAAATTTGAGTCACACGATTGGGTTGCCCTCACGTGGGATCTCTCTATAATATTGTATAATTAGTTTGGACCTGTGCCATGTATAGACTTTGTCAAGTATATTTAAGGTAAAAGGAGTCTTATGACATTCCAACCAAATCAAATCCAGCCCAATTTATTTATTAATTATTGGGTAAAGGAGGGAAAAGGTTTTAACATAAGCAAGGGATAAAAGCAACCCCAATATTAAGGAACGGGGCCATGGGCGACCCGGGGAACCCTAATCCCCATTTATACTACCCCTCTCCATGCAACCTCAATATTAAGGAACGGGGCCATGGGCGACCCGGGAACCCTAATCCCCATTTATACTACCATGTAAATTCCCCCTCTCCTCCCCCACCCCACCCAATGATTAACCCCTAAAGCTTGATCAAATCCTGTCTCCATCCATTTAATTAGGTTTTGGTCCGCATAGAAAAAAATCTTGAGCTTAGCTCTTTTAATGGAAAATTGATCACATTTCTGGTTTAATTACTACTTAGTCCATTATTTCATAAAATATAGTTGATTTTGGTCAATGGACCTTTGATCCATACTGTCTAATCATTGATGTTTGAAGTGGATAATTGTTCACAAATGGGGGTGTAAACGGATCGAATTAGAATCCGATTAGAAAATTCGATATCTAACAGATATTAAAAATTAATATTCGAATGCGAGTTCGATTAAATATTCGAATATGTAATTTGATTCGAATTTAATTAATTAATTATTTTAGATAATTAATAAATATATAAAATAAATATTTTATTGATATAAAGTATATAAATATATAAATTATTTATATAACTTAATTATTATATATAAATTATATAAAATATTTTATATATTATATATAAGAATTAAATAATTGGTTCAATTCGGATATTTATTGAATCGAATAAGGTCATATTCAAATTCGACCGATTAGATATTTGAATTATCTGAGTTTGATTCGATTATGTCAAATATCGAATTCAAAATCAAATTTTCGAATACCGTTGACACCCTTATTAAAAAACTGATAACTAATTTTTATAATTTAAATATTTTGTTATATTTATGATGAATATCATGGTTTTTGAACTGTTGTTGACCCGAATGGTCGGACTTAACCCATATCTTGGCTAAAAAATTGTTTGACTTGGTTAGTGACCCGTTGACGGTCGAATCGTCGACCCATTCAACCCAGACAATGGTTTTTGCCATTTTTTTCATTTTAATTATTTTTTATTTTTTAAATTGGATTGGACCATTTGTTCTAATTGGACGATTAGACTGTTTGGCCTAAAAAACTGTCGAGGCAACTAGTTTTCGTTTCACCTTTAGCTTGTATCTTGGCCAAACACTGTTGACTTGGTCAATGACCCGTGACCCAGATGGTTGAACCGTCAACCCGTTTCAACACAAACAATGTTTTTGGTCACTTTTATTTTAATTATTTTTGTTTTTATTTATTTTATTTTTTAATCTGTTTGAACCAGACGGTTATACCATTTGGCCTAAAAATCATTGAGGCAACTAATTTCATTTCACCTTTAACTCATATATTGGCCAAAACCATTGACTTGGTCAATGATCTGCTGACCCCGATAATCGAAATGTTGATCCATTTGACCTGAACGATGGTTTTGGTCATTTTTATTTTAATTATTTTTTTAATTTTATTTTTTAAAATTAAAATGGGTCATTCTTTCGAACCGAACGATCTAACCACTAATCTATAAACCAATGGTCAAAGTGGTTCTAGTTCGAAGAATATCATAAGTGGATCCATTTCAAACCGGATGATTGAACTGCTAACCCAGAACCCAGAGACAAAAGTGGTTCCATTTTCAATTTGACTTTTAAAACATTGGGTTAAAGCTAACTTCATTAATTAGGTTATATAGGTAATTAGGGTAACTTAATTTAAGTTCATTTAACTTACTTAAATGAACTAATTAGGATAATTATGTTACTCAATTTAATTAAGTACTGCTTTAATTAGCTAATCAAATAAATTATTTATTAATTAGCTATGTAACCATAAATGATTAAAGGCAATAATTATATTTAACGGTCATGTTTATGTAACATTATTTTAAAAATGTATTATCTAACATGTGGCAATTGTGATGATAAGAGAAGGTAAGAGGAATATGTTGAGAGGAGGAAGAAGAAAATGGAAAGATGATAAATACCGTAGGAGATTGTTCAAAAAGATAAGGAAGGTTCACTGTGGGTAGCATGAAAATTGGAAAATTTTAGGGGGGGTGGAAGAGAGAGAGAGACCCAAATGGAGGTGACCCAAGATCCGAATATAGCACTTAACCGATAACCCAAGTCCTCTCTAGACATGGTGTCATCACCATTTCCTCCAAATTTGGAAGTTCAACCACCGTCTTTCTTGGAGTCCACCTTGCTTACATTTAATATATATATATATATATATATATATATTAAATAAAGGCTTTCGGGCTATAGCCCCTACCATTCAGACACATGGCATTTTCTGGAGTCCACCTTGCTTACATTTAATATATATATATATATATATATATATATATATTAAATAAAGGCTTTCGGGCTATAGCCCCTACCATTCAGACACATGGCATTTTCTTAGAAGTTGTTGTTAGAGCCTATAGTCCACTACCACCATTCAAACAAGTGGCCTTCTCATTTTATAAAAAGCCAGACACGTGGCAATTTCTAAGAAATTCCTATTAAAGCCCACAACCCACTACTAGACTACAACTCCCCACCATTCAAATACATGGCCTTCTCATTTTTTAGAAAGTTAGACATGTGGCATTTTCCGAGAAGTTGATGCTAAAGCCTACAACCCACTATCACCATTTTCAATTCATTCCTAAAAAATGTAGAAAATGTAAAAGTAGTTATCCACAACCACTTCTGCCTATATTTTATCAATCTCAATTAATTATTAACCCTCTACATATAGTTGTTGCTAAAGCCCACAACCCATTATCACCACTTTCAATCAATTCCTAAAAAATGTAGAAAATGCAAAAGTGGTTATTCACAACCACTTCTGCTTACATTCTATCAATCTCAATTAATTATTTACCCTCTACGTATCATAACAAAAGAAAACTATCAATATTCTAATAATTATTAAAAAGTTATTTTTTGAATTAAATATTTCTTTTCATTTTAATAATTATTTAAAATATTAATAAATATAAATTTAACAGTATTGATTCTATATTGATTCCCCGTACTTAGTACAGGGTCATTCACTAGTAAGCAATAAAAGGAAAAGGCGGAATTGGATATAAGATTAGATAAATTGACCAAAAAGTAATGGTGGTAAACAAAACAAAGCAAGGAATAAAGTTATGTTGTAGAAATAGAGCAAGAAAGGATGTAATATATTCTTTTTTGGCTTCTTTTTGTAGGAAGATTATAGCTAGTTCAGCCCTCCAGGCTGAAATTCTTGTAGTTTTTTAAGGCTTATCTCTTACAAAATCTATATTACAGTTGAAAGTGACAACAAATCTTTGATTGACTGGCTTGTGAAGAAAGGAATGGGTTGTGTAGTGGAGATTTCACTTCTGATCCAAGATATTTTGTTCTTAGCTATTTCTTTAAATGCGTCCTTTTCTTTTGCTAATCATTCTGCTAATAGAGTAGCTCATGAAGTGGCTAAGAGAGGTATGAGAAGAGAGGAGCTCTGGGTTTCTCTTCTTTGGCTAAGTTCAATTGTTGTTGTTGAGTTCAAGCTTTTGTCTACTGTTGTTGTTGCCCTGTGCTTCCCTATTAGTTTTAGTGTTTTTTATTTCCCTTTCTCTCTTTTTTTTCCTGTTTCTCTATGTTTGGTTTTTGCTTCATGTTGTGTGTTGTGGTTGGTTCTCTTTTAATGAATTTCTGTTTACCAAAAAAAAAGATCTATTCCTTTTTAAAAAATTAAAATAGGAATTTTAAAATATTAAAAGAGTTTTGCACAAAAAAGTTTGGATTTGCTAATTACTTATTATCCACATTTACTCATTCACACATCAGGAATATTGGTTGTACTTTATATTGTTGATATTCTTGCTATGTGGTTGAGGTGAATGTGGCCAGCAATGTGTTGTTGTCAGTAGATCCAGGAGGATGCTACGAATACATGGTGGTATGTATTGTGAAGTTGGTATGACTTGTGAGGAGGAAATCTTGATTATAAGAGATGTAAGTATATGAAAGTCCAATGGGTCAGCCCACTTAACCTAGAAGACACCATGGGTATATTTAAGTGCAAGGGGGGTACCGTTATAAAGGCTTCCTTTGTTTTTTGGAAAGTGACTTACTTGATTAAATACACTTATCCAGGTAAGTGTTTCTTGAAAAAAAAGAAACTTATTTGGATAAGCGGGAAAAACTTGACTGTTTGTAAAAAACAGCCTGATCTGTTTTGGTAGACTGCTATGAATGATATATCACAGTGAATGTGGGCAGAAAAGATATTTATACTCAATATTTTTTAATTGAAAAGACAAATAAGGACTTGAAATAGCTAAAGTATCATGTGCGAAGGCTCCCAAAAACAACCAAAGTGAACTCGGATAAAAGCACTTGCTGGTGTTTTTTTATTCCTGAACTGAGACAAAGGTATACAATAACCAATTTGACATTATTAAAGGGACAACATTGTCCTATCACGTATTAGCAGTTTTGGGTGTACATGGATAAATATTTTACCAAAATATAAGGAGAGTATTATTTTTTCCTAGATAAATGAATCACTGAAAATCCTGATCTAGATCGACTGCCCACATGGCATACCCCACAAGCGCCCCATAGCCATCTGTAGCAGAAGCTGAACTCTTTGCCATCTATCCAGGAATTATTTTGGCCCGACAACTTGAAAAATTTCATCCGTTGATTTGCTCAGATTCTCAGATTGTTGTTCAAGCTCTTCAAAATCAATCTTCCTTGCACTGGTCATCCTTATGGTACGTTTGGATGTTATGATTGGGATGGGAAAATGGAAATATTCTCATTGGATTTTCATTTTTACGTGTTTATTCGCTGGGATGGGATGGAAAATCGTGGGATGTTGATTCTCGAAACCAAGGATGCGGGGTTGCGCTGAAATGATGCAACCCCAATGAGAAGAGAAAATTTTGAGAAAAAAATGTCGAGACTTTCGACTGAAGCTCTGCAGCTGTCCTCTCACCATCTCCTTGCGTCTACAATGATCAAGTCTCCGACAATATTCCCAATGATATCCAGCCAAGATAAGACCAGATCCATGACCATAGAATAAAGGCAACTGTCTTCTTCACGTTTTTGGCATCATCGATCTCCTCATGCTGTCAGGAAGACATGGTCGTTCGTCAGCTAAAAGCCATTGTTTCCGACATAGAGGTAGATGTTTTATAGATCTACGCTTGTGCTTATAGATCTAACATGTTTATGTCTTCTAGGTTCAAATGTTCCCGTTAAAACGCACCAAGGTGTTTATGCCTTTTTTTGGGTTCAAACCCCCTTCAAGGTCTGTTAAAACAGATCCCGATTATTCTTTTTACTTTTTTTATTTTTATATGTTTTCTTGTTGGGGTGAAGATCCGAGGCAGTGAGAACAACTCCAGATCTTGCTTCACCCTTGTATCCTCTGCAAACTTTGAAGGTGACAAACCCTTCCTACATGCTCCTACTTTTTGATTTTTGCTGAAATATTGATTTGCAAATATATTATTATTTGTTAATTTTTTTTCTGGGCATTCTTCTTTTACTAAAATAGAAAAATGTTGATCATTAAATGTATATATTAGAGAGACGTCTCTGTGAAACATCTTCTTTCACTATATTCATGAAACACTTTGCAAGTTAGTTTCCCCCTTTCTACTGAAATAAGTCAAGTGTTTTATAGATAGGAAATAATCCCCAAAAAAGTTTAGTAGATACAATATATGTTAATGAATGAAACCCCAAGCTAAAAGATTTGATTCATAATACAGAAATTCACTCTTTAATAGAGTTCTAAAATCTTACTTAGACAAACACCATGCAAAATTCAATTATTACTATGCTATATCACCCCTTAAATAAGGGTAGTGTTGTGAAATTGGAGAATGTATGGATTTATCAAAATGGAATAAAATCAAACATTCTTCAAAATTTTCTCATCAGCCAAACATTGAAAAGCATATTATATAGGATAATGCCTCTCAGCAAACAAACACAGGGTGTCAAAAATGAAAAAAAAAAAATTCTTTTCTCATCTTATCTTTTTTTATCTCATCCCTTTCCATCCCATTATTTCTCGATAACCAAACGGATCATTAGCATTGTTAGTAAAAACTTAAAACTTTCTTTATGCTTTTAGTTCTTTTCAATTATTATATATTAATAGGAGATATAATGTTTCTGTACATCAATTAACAAAATGGAGTAAACATGTTATACAGGAACAGTTTTTTGTTACCTGATTATCCTCCTACTATATAGATGTTCAGAACTTTGTAAGGTGATCTTTTTGTTAATATAATGTAATTTTACCTGTAAAAAAAAAAAATTGTCGGACTTTGGTTGACAGCCCTATTTCCGATCATTTTGGTGAGCCCGTGTTGGGACATCCTTATCGGACACGGGCCTGCACGTGATCGGACCGAACACCGATGCATACCCAGATCCTACCAACCTGTTCAAACCCCTAATCCGGGTCCGTTTATATTGCATATTCGCTCTTCCTTTGTCTCTTGCCCTGTTGCCCAGCTCCACTTCTCGCTTTCTCAGCATACATTTCCTGCCAAAAGCCAATCTCGGGGCAAAGAACCCGACCCAAGCCCCGAACGAAACAGAAATTTTATATTGTAAAGGAGAAATAGTAAAAAATGAATGGGCTGTGTGCTCTGCTACAATCCTCCGAGGCTCTGACCGCCATTTTACCTACAAGACCTCAACAACCACTACTGCAAAAGCCGGACAGAAAGACGAAGAAGAAACCCATTTGAGAATTCATTTAACCACAACGAGAAAAAGAAGAAAAGGGTGTTTTTATTATTTTAATTTACTTTCTCTCGCCTCCATTGATGATCGCTGGATGTGTGTTGTGGCCTTGTGGGTGGCGTTGCCGTTGGTTCAATGGTTCGTTGAGCTATCCCTTTCTATCGATCCTGTCACATCACATCGGTTGTTAGTTCGGGCAGTTGAATCTACTTGAAGCAACCGGCTTCTTCAATCTCTCTGATGGGTTTCGGTTTGTTTCCTTCAAGTATTCGACATCAGCCGAAACAGAGACGTTTTGTTGAAATTCGAGTTTGAACTGCGTTTTGGGTTTGACCTGAAAGGCAAATTAAGATTACATGCCACTGATGAGAAAGAGAAGGTTCTCTTTATGGGATGCGATTGCTGGTCTATGCGTAGTTTTAGCTTGATTCCGGCTGGTAACGGCTCTCAGGCCTCTAAGGGAGAGGGCTCGGTCTTGGGGTGATGAGGTCAGTTTTTAATAAGTTTTGATTGTTTGGTTTTCTTGCATATATTTTCTTCCAAATTGGGAACAAAAGATATCGCCATGCATTCTTGAATTTCAAAAATGTTACTTTTGTTTATTGACTGCAATCCACTTCTTGTGTCAAGTACTACAATTTAGGAATACAACTGTTCAAGGTTGACCTCATTTGAAGAAGAGTAGTTGGCATTCTTTTATGAGGAGACCTCTGTGTTTGGTTTTGAAACTCGGAACTTATGGTTTTGAAAGTATCATCCGAGCATTTGGCTCTCAGTAGTACTTGATTGACTTTCTGCACTTAAAATCTGATTTTTTTGGTAATTCACTTAAAATCTGATATGCGTAAGTATTTATGCTGAAAAGCAGTTGCCTGTGCAATGTTGGACCCAATTACATTTCTATTGTCTGGGCACTGCAGGCATGTGTATCTGACCCCATAATCTTAGAAATGGGTTCAGCTAAAATGGGTTTACAAACTGCCTGAGAACTTTGGGTATATGGATGATTGAACGTTGGACAATAAATATGCCCGACTTGGCAAGTAGCCACTTCTCTTTTCATTTCTTTTTCTTTTTTTTTTGACAAGTGATAAACAATCCCTATTTGGTAATTTAGATATTTTATTGTTCATATCAAATAGAGGAACCCTCGGCAACAATAGAAAGCAATGTTGAACTTGCAACACAAGTGTTTAGAACACATAATGTGATAACATACTGAAATGCTCTAATGCATAATGTAAGGATGTGCTAGGTTAGACATTCTATATATACAAGTTTCTCAACTTGTGATTGCAGTTTCTTCAAGAATATAGTTACAAGTTTATGTTGGGTGTACAAATTAATTGGATATGCATGCAGTCCACCAGAATTCATCAAGAGAAGGGATAAGAATTTGGTTGGTTTAACAAATTTAATGTACCCAAACTTGTGTCATCCTGACCTACATGGTTCTAAGTAAGGGTTATGTGTATTGCAGGATAAGACCCAAAGCATACTTTTGCTCCAATAACCAATGCTTCAATGGCATAGGGGATGTCAGACATTATAAAGTAATGAAATGCATTAGAAAATCCTGTCTTGAATTTTATCTGAGAGTGCCCTTCATGTGATGCATGATACCGCTGCTATCTCCTATAATAGTTATTTCCTACATATAACAGGAGCTGAGTAATCAAGAGATTTCTATGTGAAGAATCTGGATCATGTCCATATGTAAGAACAATTGATGTTCTCATTCAGATCCATCTATGAAGCTCTTTTGGGACTGTAATGGTGCTCTAAAGGTGACAAACATGGTGTAGTGAGCAAGGAGGTTTCTCATTATCATTCAAATATATTGTTTAATTCTGTTTGAAAATTATCCTGTTGACAGATTTTAGCACAAAGAATCAATCTGCCTTTTCATAATCAATTACAAACTCCCTGTGGTGGATTTAGTTTCAAATGATGCTTTATGCATCTTAAGTGAATTATCAGGCTTTATCTTCACTTTATACACTACACATTAATCATGGAATGTGACCAATAACCTTTGCCCATCATTGGTAAAGCAGATTCAGCTGTCATTTTCAAGCATTTGTTGATTGCTAATTACATCGAATATGCAATCAAAGTTAAATTCATATTTTTTTTTTTTTTTTTGTACTTATTGACATTAGTTCATGCAGTGGCTATTTATTAGAAGAGATGAAAATGACCCCAGCCCATATTCTGCCTGGAACATTACAGGGACCTACAAAGGTTTGTAAGTTTTCTACTTGGGATTTTAATGATTTTTTTGGTTGGTAGCTTTGGGACCTTAATGATTTTTCTAATTGATAATAAATATTGAGTTGGCTTAGTTGTACTACTAGAGTGCTCTAGGTCCAGTATGATTCCTTTTAACTTGTGTAGTCAAATGGAAAGTATCATTTGTATGAAGCTTTGGTTTTACAAATACAGCTTCACTTATCAATTCAAAAAGAGACATTGTTTTACTTTATATGGCACATATTTTTACAGTGAGCTGACTCAAAGTCAAGATCTTTTCTTCCCTATTCCATTTTTTGCATATGAGCTTGATTCTGTCCATCTTGAGGTGATTTGCAGATTTATAATGTATGAAAAACATTTTGGGATTCTATCAGTTTTCTCCTTTTCAATCAAACTATTCAAGATATGGCATCCTAATTGCATATACATGCATCATATATTTGTAGATTTGGTACATATACATTATGCTTCTCCAATATCAAAATGAACTACAGAAAAATGGTTCTGACTTCTGATCTTTGATTTCCTCTGAAGTAAATGAAATACAGAAAAATGCTTCTCCAATATCACTTTTTTCTCTTAAAAATAGTGAATCTGGTGTTAAAGATTCAAAATGCAACTGAAAGCAACATGGTAAAACCTCATAATGACCATAAATCCTGCTTCGTCACTCCATTCTATCTTACTTCTATCTTCATGTTATGGGTTTTGGCAAAATGTTTTTATTCTGGCTGCGGGCCTTGCACATGAGCGTCCACATCAATGAACGTTTTAGTCTCCCATGAGTATACTTAAACATGCATTAATTCAATTTGTCCAATTTAGGGTTTCTCTGTTTGTCTGTTTGTCTCTATTAAAGAATCCAGTATTTTGAGTTTTTAGAATTAATTGCTCATCTTTCTTATCCTTCTAGTTTTCTGAAGTAAAATACTTTTCTTATTATTTTTAACTGAACATCATATTTTGAATGAACGGGGATGTGATAATTTAAGACCAGTTGACCTCCTTGAGGGTGATCTTTTTCTTGAATTTATCATGTCTTTATCTGTATGTGCACTTTTTGGATAAGTAAGTTGGCCCAGAGGTAGGCATGAAATGCTTTAACCTTTGACTGAAATGGCTGGTGCTGTGCAGTGCACAATAACTGCTTTCCTGCCATGCAGTGCACAATAACTGCTTTCCTTTTGCAGTTGTATTTGAATGCTTTCTGACTGTCCATTGGGATTGTTAAATGAAGATATATTTTTTTTCTTGATGAATGAGTAAGATTTTATTAAACCAGCAAATAAGAGTTATATGCAACCCATGGAAAGGCATGAGGTGCGACCTTTCCTTTAAAACTAGTTACAGAATTATAAGTTCAAAAGAAATTACACAGAAGCCCAAAATAAAGTAGCTCAAAAAACCCCTTGTTTTGCAAGTGAATCAGCCATTGAGTTTGCTGATCTGCCTACCCACTGAACTCTGATTGTCATATTCCTTGTTAGCCATTTAACCTTTTTGAGAAGATCTCTATAGCCCTAGATCATGGAGTCCGGATCCTGCAACCAACCCACTATCACTTGGGAGTCCCCTTCAATAATCAGATGTTTGTTTCTTACCTCGAGAAACCCCCTGTTTCCTAGCTGGTTTGTGAGCTGGATTCCTTGCACAGCAACAAGTAATTCGGCCCTTATAGAGTCTCCCACACCCACAGGACCTGAATACAAAGATATAATACTACTATCTTTGTTTCTCAGCACTCCTCTTATACCTGAAGGTCCAGGGTTACCTCGGCTAATCCCATCAAAGTTCAGCTTAATAAACTCCTCCCTAGTGGCATCCATTCAACCACATATCTGTCCTTCCTAGTAGAAGTGTTAGCCATTGCTAACCAATTTCTCCATAGGTCATCGAAAGAGTATGCATTAAAGAGATTTAGAGTTTTCAACCACTGAATTGCCCTTGTCAAAATACATTCTTTAACTTCCGAGAAACTCCTTTCTTTTTCACATTTTGAAACCATAATTAATATATATATATATATATATATATATATGTGTGTGTGTGTGTGTGTGTGTGTGTGTGTGTGTGTGTGTATATATCTCTATATAAATATATTTTACAAAAACAAATCTCAACGTTTGAAATCAATTGCTGGCAGTTTAGGTTTCCATCAGAGAAAGTGCATTACCCGATCATTCACTTTGTCCGACAAAGGGGCTGATCCTGTCACTATGATCACCCACTCTGATGAATTCTCGGACTATCCCAACATACCCAGGTTTTGACCCCCTCTAAGGATCTCACTGATTGGCATATCACAGACAGCCCAATCCAACACCTAGTGTAGTACCATAATCGAGTCTAGGGGTCAGGTGTAACATTCTAGTTTTGCCCATCTGTCTCTAAGGTCTAGGGCAATATTGGAATTTCGTTCCGGTTCAGAGTTTCAAAAAAACCCACCCTACATGTACCTCAGGTCTCACCCTGGCAGCTGAGACAAGCCACCCCAACCAACTTGGCGGCACATCAGTGTCAACCTTGGCAGGATAAATCTCCCTAGATCTATCCAACGGCTGCGAAGATTCTAAACTAACACGAGTCTCATAAGTGTCCAGTTTTAAGGGTATTACAGAGAAACATACCAAAACACATGAATCAATTATGTACTTTTATTCATTTACAATAAATGTCATCAAATACATCAATCTGATTGGAGCTAAGAGCATACACTGTCTAACAATCTTCATTTCACAAAGAAAGTATGTACTTGACCTACTGCGAGGGACTGGGAAGCTGGGGACTAAAACAGCAAGCACTCCTATTGATCCAAATCACAGAATTAATGGTGTGGATGGTGAATTGGTAAAGGATGTGGGGAGATATCAAAGAATGGTGGGCCAACTACTGTATTTGTGTATGACATGACTTATGCTGTCAGTGTTGCGAGTCAGCACATGCATGCACTTCGGGTTCAGCACTAGAAAGCTATTGAGAGAATACTTGCATATCTGAAAAAACACCCTGGCAGAGGCATTCTTTTCTCAAATCATGAGAATATGAAGCTAGAATCCTATACAAATGCAGACTAGACAAGATGATTAAATGACAGGTCTACATTAGGAGTGTGTACCATTGTAAGTGGAAACTTGATCTCCTGGAAGAGTAAGAAGCAAGCAGTTATGGCAAGGTCAAGTGCAAAGGCTGAGTATAGATCCATGGCTCATGGTGTCTCAGAACTTCTTTGGGTTAGATCTCTTTTGAGTGAGATTGGGGTGAAAGCAGAGGAACCTATGATGTTATACTRTGACAATCAGGCTRCAATCAATATTGCCCACAATCCAATTCAGCATGATAGGACAAAACACATTGAAGTTGATAGACACTTTATAAGAGAAAGGGTAACAACTAGAGAAGTTTGTTTGCCTTATGTCTCTGTAGAGTTGCAGCTGACTGATGTTCTCACTAAAGGAGTGGCAAAGAACAAGTTTGAACATGATCTACGCAAGTTGGGAATGTGTGACATTTACTCCCAACTTGAGGGGGAGTGTTGAAGATTAATCAGTTTTATGATGTTTTTCTGAGTAGATGTTTTATGTTAGTTGTTAGATAGGAATTGGGGACTACAATAGTTATGTGAGTCCAAATTTTATTCTGTTTTTGAGTGTTATATATGCTGTTTTATGTTTTTCTGCCCTAGTTGTCTTTGTACTATTCTATTATTTTTAGTATATATAATAAGTGAAGGGGGTGGCCAGATTATTTGCTCTCTTTTCTTTTCAACTTCTCTTCTTCTCTTCTTCTCTTCTTCTCTTCTTCTCCTTCTCTCTTCCTTTTCTCTTCAAGAAACTACGTTTCTTTCATATTTTTTAATTCAGCAGATTTCTACTAATTCATCTAACTCTGTGAGCATTTTCCTTTTCTCATCTTCAAAGGCTTTGTACTGTTCTTTCCCCCAAGATTTCAGCTTCCTTTTAAGGAATTTTAATTTCTGTAAAAGCTGGAAACCAGTCCATCCCTCTACTTCACATTCCTCCCACCAAACAGCTACAATCTTCTTAAAATCCTTGTGAGAGGTCCACCATTTTTCCAGTCTAAAAGGGGGCTTTCCTTTTGTGATGAAGTCAGTGTTTAGCTTGATAGGCCAGTGGTCTGAAATGCAACAATGGCATAAGTCCTGGGTTAGGTTGGGAAATCTTTCCACCCAGTCCAATGTTTTTGTGACTGGGAATTGCAGTGCTGTAGATCTTGGAACATGTAAATTGGAATTGAATAGGAGAGCCTTGACAAATCTTTAGAAACTGATCAATGACCTAAAGATTGGCATAATATCAGACTAATAAAATCTCAATTCATTTTCTCTCTTTCTTCCTGCTCTATAGTCTTCTAGTAACACTTTAATATTTGCATGTTGGTATCAAACAAATTTCTCTCTTCTATACATGTAAATAAAACAAGCCAGAATTGATCCCTACTGTCTTAAGCTAGTTGCAAGATGACATCAGCAGTGTAGTAGCAGGCCTATGCTTCATTGTTGAAAGTAAAATTTATGAAAAAGGTACATCCATATGCATCTTTTCTTCTATTTAAGAAAAATGAGAATTGTCACAAGTCCATGCAATTTAACTATTCCAAAAGTAACTATTGGGTCTTAAGGCTCACCCAAGTCCTATTTTTAATCAACCTGGGACCACATCTATTTGTGGGCAGTGTTTTAAAAGCGCAAGGCGCAAAAAAGGCGCAGGGGTCAATTTGCATCTGAGGCGCAAGGCGTAAGGCAAGGTGCGCGTGACTTTTTAAGCAAGGCGCAAAAATAAAAAGAAAAGGCTAAAAAATAAAAAATGCCAAAAAATTCAAAAAATGCAAAAATTGAAAAAAAAATTATTAAACATAATATTAATAAAAATATAAACTTTAATTTTAAAATAAATGTTATAAAAAACCTATTATCTAATATTAAAATACATAAATATAGCATGTAAAGCATATTCAAATGAGAATTTAAA